GGGTGGTAACTAGCAATCCTCCAATACACAGATTCATTTTATTCTCGAAATGCCTTGGGTGGTTGTGGAGTTGATTGTTTCTCAATAGGGATAGTTGAATAAGCTGTGTTTCTCTGATATAGACATGATGCACATATAGAGGTTGGGAAATACCATGCATAGGGTCTTATCTATGAGATTTCTTGGAAATTCTTACCCATTCTTTACATGATCCTATCTTTTGAAGGAGTACAAATACAAATATGTAGAGTACAAAACCTTGTATTTTGTATTATTTTGTATGTATTTATACATACATATTTGTATTTCTACTCCTTCCAAACTGAGCCTAAGAAACATAATTTCATATAAAAACTTGGAAGTTAGAACAATCACCCGAAGCTTTCTTTGCCCCATTCCCAAGTTTGGCTGTACAACACCTCCCTCCCCTTTGCAAGCCCTCTCCATGTCGGTGAGACAGCTAGGGCATCATCTTCCAGTCCTCGTGTCCTTATACTCATCCTACCCCATTTTCCCAAAATGTATACCAAGCAGAGGCAGGAAGAACGCTTCTATGTGATCTCTCTCTCTCTCTCTTGTGCCAGTCTCTGTTGCTAAGGTACCAGTTAAATGTCATCATATTCCTTTATGCAGTATTTAGCAGTACTGATACTCTTTCTCCCTTGTCGTTATGAAGATTGTCCTCGATTTTGATGTTTAGTTTTCTTAAATGATACTGCTTAGGTTTTCCTGATGGATCCTTGGTGGAATCCAGCCGTGGAGAGGCAAGCCCAAGATCGAATCCATCGGATCGGACAATACAAACCAATCAGGTGCAACTCATCTTGTCCTCTCTAATCCTGTATTCCCACCAAACACACCAAATCATGCACTATTTATCTCTTGGGAAAAGAAGATGTAAAGAAAAGAAATTTTGATTGTGCATATTTCTCTAGGATCATAAGGTTCATAATTGAGGACACCATTGAAGAGAGGATTCTTAAGTTGCAAGAGAAGAAGGAATTGGTGTTTGAAGGGTAAGTTCAATTTGTTTGCTAGGTGTTTGAACTGTATATCTTCTGATGGTATTTTACCTGCATCATACCATACTTTAACAGGACTATAGGTGGTTCTTCTGAGGCTCTGGGAAAACTAACAGCAGAGGACTTAAGGTTCTTGTTCACCACCTAAGCGGGAATTTCTCGCAAGATTCCATATAATCTCTTAGATGAATTGTTACCACGTAGGAAGTAATCGGGTTGAAAAGTGTAGGAAACTGAGATCTCGTTTTCTCATGAAATGGAGTGTCTTGTAAGTAATTAGGTCTGTAATCCTCTCAATATCAGAGGCTGCTTGGAAGTACGAGGATTGTTTTTCTGGTTATACAAACTTTGTATATTGAGATGTGATAGTTTTTGTATATATCTTTTAATTCCTGTAATTTTGAGCATCTGTAAATGCAATTATTTCTTTAGGTTGTGAAAAGGAATTGATAATTGGTGACAGACTTAAAACAGCTTATTCATGGTATTCTCCACTTCACCAATAAATAGTCAGTCAGTGGTTTACAGCCTTTTCAACAACTTAAATACGATATAATAATAATAATAATAATAATAATAATAATAATAATAATAATAATAATTGATTAACTCTACTCTTACTGTTTAACTATTGTGTTAGAGTATCCCCAAGTTACTATTGTCTTAGAGCGGTTAGCGTCCGATAATGTTTCATCAAAATCTGTACACATATGACACCATGTGAGATATAATTCTTTTTAAAATCCAATATTACCCTCCGTCTCTCTTCTGTAAGTCGGGTAATATTACCCTCCATCTCTATAAGAGTTGTCCCTGACAAACCCTTTCTACTTTCGGCTGCCAGTAAGGCCTCTAGCACTAGATAAAGTGGCGTCATCACCGGTGATGTTGATCAATCAGTTAAGTCCAAGATCAGAAATGTATGGTTGAATGTATAAAGCTTTGTTTTTTTTTTTTTTTATTTCGTAGTGCACTGGCTCTGTCATGATATAGTGTCTTGATAGGAGCAAACTTTGAATATTGAGGATGATGGGCGAGACAAGGGAGAATCTGGGCTCAAAACTTTGAATTGGGATTTTGAAAATCATCTCGATCTGAGGGTTATTTTTTAGAAAAAAACAAAGAAATTATTTTCCAGTTCCCTATTAAGGAGGGCATTCCACCCTACCAGCAGAGGCTTATTTTTGCTGGAAAGTAGCTTGAGGATGGATGGACTCTTGCAGACTACAACATTCAGGAGTGCCGTCAAAGCTCCAGGCATTCCACCAGACAAGGAGGGAATTCTATGATATTAGTGTTTTCTCGGTGAACATTTCTCGGGTAGTCGAAAACAATGAAGAGTGTGTGCTTGCTGTATTCATTGCCGGCGATTCCACCAAACCAGTAGAGGCTCATATATGTTGGGAAGCAGTTGGAGGATGGTCGCACCTTGGCTGACTACAACATACAAAAAGAATCCACATTGCATCTGGTGCTTCATTTTTGTGGTGGGATGCAGGTTTTCATGAAGACCTTGATAGGGAAGATGATCACATTGGAGGTGGGAGTAAAGTAGAAATTTGCTGAATTTAAAAATCTGTAAAAGAAAAGCTATTTTCTTGAAGAAGAGAAGAGAGAAGAAGAAGAACAACAAGAGGAGGAAGAGATTTGAGGAATAAAAAGAGAGCTTAATTCTGGCCGTCCCCTTTTGTAGTATTTATATTAAACATATAAAATGGAGTACAATGATTAATATGCCCTTATAGGGCGTCAAGCATCTAAAAACACAAAAGACTTAACAAACAATCAACAAAAGACCTAATATAAATGCTGTGGTTTCCACTTCCTATCTAACAATTAACATATAAAAAGTTGCTGTTAAATCTACACAAAACTGATTAAATCCTCAACAAGTTCTAATACATTCGACAATGTAAAGCATGGTTTTTAAAACCGGCCTGAAGACCGAACTGGTCAGGGGTCTAGTTACCGGGTTGAACGGTCCGACTGTTCAAACCGAACGGTCAGCCCATTTTGACAAAAAAAATAAAAAAATTAAAAAAAATGAAAACCGGTCAAAACTGTTTGAATGGTTCGAACAGTTTGAGTGGACTGAGTTAACTGCCCAGGTCAGCAGTTTGCTGACCAAAATCAATGGTTTTTATGGAAAATCCGGTTTTGGGGAAAACCGGAACCGGTCACCTGACCAGTTCCCGGTTTTTCCAGTCTGACCGTCCAGTCCAGTCCGATTTTGAAAACCATGATGTGAAGGCTAAGATCCAAGACAAAAAGGGAATCCCACCTAATCAGTAGAGGCTCATCTTTGCCGGTAAGCAACTCGAGGATGGTGTTGCAACATTTCATAGAGCAGTATTTGAGGGGAAAATATAGCGGTTACCGGAAATAAAAAATAAGAAAATAGAGCTTTATACATTCAAGAATGTTCCTCCTCTTGCCCTTCTCCCTCGAGACCGACTCATCCTTCCGAGATCTTTTCACTCCATTTGAACTGGACCAAAACCTAAAAAGAAATTCAGTGAGTGATCATGATCAATATCCACATGCACATTAAGTGTCGGTGTGATTAATGGTGTCGGCGGCTTCTCTAAGACGTCTCAGAAGTACTGACGGCGGTTATACTGTGAGAAAAAATAGAGACGGAGACAGAAACGAAAATGGAGACGGAGACGGAGACAGAAACGAAAACCGAAATAGAAACAAAAATAGAGATGAGATGAAGGAGTAATTTGCTTCCTATTTTTCTGAAATTATTCATAATTTGGGTTTTATTTTAAAAATTTAAGATATAATGAAGAACAAATTTGACATTTCAATTTTTCTGTTAACACTTAATGATGATATCAATTATAAGAAATAATAGGAGTGATGCAAGATAATAGTTAAACAGCAATTGCATAGTTAGTCAATTAACTAAACAATAATAATAATAATAATTTATTATTATTAATTTAACTGTGAGAATAATGCTTATTCAAAAACAGATTCATCATTATCGAAGGGGATCCCAAGCTTGTTATTGACTGCCTTAACAATTGTGTGAAGCTGTATGGATATTGAAAACGATGGTTGAAGATAAAGATGCGGAATAATTGGTTAGCCAATTTCTCATTCTCATCCCGGTTATGTAAGCGTTGAAAACCTGCCTAAACCCTTCAGCTTTTATTTAATTGTTTGGATTTCTGGGGATGTGTTACATCCGTTCGGTGGAGCCCTTCCTCCCTCTTCCCGTTCTAATTTCTATCGGAGAAAAAAGAAAAAAACATACGGGTTGATTATGATTTGTGCCATTGAACATGTGTCCAAACCTACCCATTGAACATGTGTACGTCTGCCCACCCATATTATCTGGTATGTCGTAGATAATTGGGCTGGTATTACGAGCAGAACTGTAGCAGAATCGAACTGTTAGACAATCCTTTATTCCTCAGAGGTGTCAGTGTACGTCATGCATGTACGTGTTCATTCAATTTCAAGAGGGGAAACATGGACTTGAATACTGGACTGTGTCTGCATTTTCCAAATTAAAAGGAGAAAGTAAATGGTGGTGGAAATTAAATCTGCCATGTTTCTGCAATTGAATGGGTAAGTGGTGGAAATTAAATCTGCCATCCAAAATCATGTTCAAAGTTCATGGGAATTCGTATTCCAGTCCAGACAACCCATAATAAGAAATTGAACAAATTGTTGCAGTGGGCGCTCAAGGAAGAATTCTTTCAGTAGAACCAGTCTATACACCTCAGCGGTGATCGAGGCGGCAGCAAGGATAAGAGAGAAGAGGTCATTCCATTCAATTCAACCGTTTTACCAGTCCATCAAGACACAGAGAGAACCAGTCATCGATTTTACAGATTATTGGTTTTTACTACGATTCAATTCTCTATCTATTTAGGGTGGCGAACATATAAAAAAAGTTAGCCACTATATCAAAGAAGTGTAGTAGGCAATAGCTTTACTTACCCCCTTTTGTTTAATTTAACAGAATCAGAAGAAAGTATGAGAGACCAAAACCAAATAAACCATCTATAGATTACGAAGAAAGTTTGAACCAGAAGCGGTCAAGCCATGATCCAGTTGTTGAAAAATTCAAAGTACGACACCACAGTCTGATCTTTCCCACGAGGCCAAGACCCTCCACTTGTTTTCTATAAATATATAATCTGGGAACCTCTCTAAAACCAATACTACTCTCTTCTCCTCTCCGAATTCAATTCTATCAACGTAGAGAAATGGCAACCTTACAAACTCTGCTATCTTGTTCTTCCTCCTCGTCTTGTCAAAGAAGAATTAAAGCTACCCTCCATGCTCCTAAACTTCAAAGGGTTCATCTGTCCGTTCCGAAGCTACCAACCAAAAGGGTGACGGAGGATTTGAACATAAAAAGTGGATACTCAGTCACAACAACTATCCATATGGATAAGAAGACCGAAATTGGCACAGAGGACGATTCGGTCGCTACCAGGGTGATCATGGAGCTTTATGCAATTGCAGATATGGTATTAGACAGAGCGGAGATGCATGCCAACATTGGAGAGCAGCGAAACAACTGGAACACTCTCCTGCTCACATCCATTAACACAATCACTTTAACCGCCGCGATAATGGCTGGACTGGCAGCATGGGAGCTCCCCTTCCAGCTCTCAAGCTATCGTCAACCCTCTTGTATTCTGCAGCTACGGGAATACTGATGGTGATGAACAAGATCCAGCCCTCTCAACTACACTTGATCTGGGTAGTCCTACGCCCAAAGACGTGAAGGATACCATGGAGAAAGTGTTGGCGCTCGATAGGGCGTACCCACTTCCGTTGCTAGGGACAATGCTCGACAAGTTCCCGGCTACAGTAGAGCCTGCCGTATGGTGGCCTTCAGGGTGTTCTCCAGAACAACTTTCAGTGCAACAAAAAAAACCCAATGAAAAGATGGAGACAAATGGGTGGAACAACAACTTAGAGGAGGAAATGAGGCAGATTCTCGGGGTGTTGAGGAGAAGAGATATGGAAGAGTACAATAGACTTGGCAAGTTAGCTCTGAAAATTAACAAAGTTTTGGCCATTTCAGGCCCTCTGTTAACAGGGATCGCTGCTGTTGGTTCTGGTTTTGTGGGATCTCCTTCTCATGGTTCATCGGCCGTCTTGGTCAGCGTTGCAGGGGGAGCACTAGCAATCATAGTTAACACGATGGAACACGGTGGGCAAGTGGGAATGGTATTTGAGATGTACAGGAACTGTGCAGGGTTTTTCAGACTGTTGGAAGAGTCCATTGAGTCCACATTAAACGAAAGGGATACAAATACAAGAGAGAACGGGGAGTTGTCTGAAATAAAGGTGGCTCTGCAATTAGGAAGAAGTGTAACCGAGCTTAGAGATCTCGCAGCCTCGTCTTCTTGTGCAGCGACAAATGCCACGGAAGAGTTTGCAAGCAAGCTCTTTTGAAATTAAAGGTCTCTCGTAATTTTCCATACAATTCTTAAAATTTTTTTTTTCTGTAATTTGTTTGTATATATAATTATTTTTCATAGGGGTCATTGCTTGGTGTAATTGTGATTAAATATCGGGATGACAATCGTGATAATGCGGATTCAACTACTCAGAAGAATCAAGTGGCAAAGGTTAGGTCTCCAGTCCAACCATCCCTGGACCTGAGATAACTGGGACTGTTTTTTTTTTTTAATTATGTTTCTTTATTTTTGTACCCAAATGACCTCTCCTAGCTTACTAGAATTTTTGAATGTAAAAGGTTGTAATTGAATGGTTATGTTCAAATAGAAAGTGATGAATGCAGTTTCAATGGTGCTGAATCCTTTCTGTTTTCATGTGGGTTATTTCTTAATTAAGAATCAAGTTTTGTAATGACAATCGTTTCCTAATATTATGAATACACTAAATTTAAACGGCATGTGAGGCCATGAGGATTTTCCTTCAAACGGGTTGTTAGCCTACTAAAAAAAGGGTAAACGTTAATTCAAATGAAAACCATATAAAAGAACGGGGAAAATCGTTTTGTTTCCTGATTCAGGTTAGAAAATTACGTCATTTCCTTTGATGACAAGTCAGATTGATTTTAGTTTATAGAAAAAAAAAGTATAAATTACAAAGACCGCCCATTCTATGGGGTTAGTGATAAATGCTCCCTGCACTTTCGTTTGTGACAAACACCCCCTATCTTATAGTAAGTTAGTATAACACTCCCTACTCTTTTCGCTTACACTTTAATAATCCAATAATTCATAAAAATATTGGTTTTCATAAAGTTAAAATAGTTGGTGTAGCATATACATAGGTTCTTTTTCATCCGTGATGGCATAAAAGATGTGAATGTATTTTTTGGGTAAATTTCTTAAATTACCTTTATTGTTTAGCTAATTGACTAAGTGTATTCTTATTGTTTGAAAATTGACTAAAGCTACCCGTATTGTTTCTGACAATTGACTAATACTTCCCTTGCTATTAGTGCCCGTTAATATAAAGATGAAAAAGACTATTTTACCCTTTATTTTTCTTCAAATTTTTAAAATAAAATAGTAAAAAAGGGAAAGAAACGTTGGTTCATCAAACCCTATTGGAGCTCTTCTTCGAGAGGCCCTCGGTGATTGGAGTCGTTCAAGGCAAGATGACCGGCCTTGTTTACATCACTCTGGAAGCAGGTAGGTCTTTGCATAGAGTTGTGAATTCTCCATGCAGATCGTAGTTACAGGGGTTGACCATTTTGTTTGCAAACTATTTTATCCACTATTCTCTTTTAAATTTTCAAAGTAAAGGATTAACTCCGATCAATTCAATCATTGAAGAACTTTTGTTTGCTGATGAGGGGAGGAGAGAAAAGGAAATGTAAGCTCTGGACTCTAGAATTATGAGAAGAAAAGCAACAAATGACATAGAGTCCAGAGTGACTATTGAAAGCGGCGATTGACACAAAGTCTAGAGTCAAAAGTGAGTTAGAGCAAGACAAACGATGAAAACAACTGGTCCATGGATGGAAGCGGCGATTGAAAACCTCTTCAATCGCATATTGTGCAAGCGTGAGGGATTCGTAACTCCCACCGCAAACCACTCCGCCAAGGAGATGGGGAAATGAGTGCTTCCGTAAGTTGATGAGTGTTGGCTTGATCGAGCCCGTCTACGAAAAAGGATGTAAAGCTGTAAAGTGCTGTAGAATGCACCATTGGATTCAGCGTATGGTGATTTTTGTCACTAAAGATTTGAGATTCTTTAACATCGATTCGAGCGGAAATCCCATATCTCCCACTGAATTTTCCCGATTTGAAAATGGCGCAGATGAATTCTCTCGCTGAGCATGCTTGGTGACAATCAATAGAGGATCTCCAGATCTACGAAATTTCTATCACGAGGACCTGCAAACACTGTTCAATGTGAATGCACAGTATCTTGATTTCAAAAAGGTTGGCAAGAGTGATGGGCTATCGATGACGAGGAAGTTGGTTGTTCTTCAACTGGGTAAATGGCAGAGATGATCGAAGCATCAAATTGAGGTGGAGGAAGAAGTTTTTCTAAAAGATTTGGGATCTATAAAGCATTTGAGTTATTTGAGCCTTCAGGGCATATATGGAATAACAAAGCTTCCAGCTTCAATTGGCAAGCTCACCAATATCAAAATTCTGGATCTCCGAGCATGTCAAAATCTGGAGGAACTACCGGTTGGGATAGCATCTCTAAAGAACCTAACTCACTTGGACCTATCTGATTGTTTCTTGCTAGAGTACATCCCCAGGAGTCTTGGCTCGCTCTCCGAGTTGCAAGTGCTGAAGGGATTTGTAATCTGTAACTCCAAGACCAAAGATGTATGCAAACTGAGCGATTTAGTTACACTGAGAAAGCTAAGGAAGTTGAGCCTGAGCATCAACATAGAAAACAAAGCAACTACTGATTCATAATCGCATATTGTTCAATTACAAATTCATCTTGGGTCCTCCAATTGTCAAAGGTTTTAGCCCCACTATCTCCGTTGTAGCTTTCCGATATAAATATGGCTCCTGTTTTGCCGATGCCAACTACACCTTCTTCGGTTTCTCCATCCAAAATCTGCCTTTATATCCCCAGTCGTGGCGACCTAGCAAACCAGATCTTCCCCTCAACCCAAAAGACATCAAGCGTGAAACTCAAAGCTCTGCTCCATCGTTCAAACCAAGGTTCAAAGTATCGACACATATTGGCCCATATCGGCCGATACGTATTGTTCCAGGACCCCTCCAATATGCCCTTACAGTGGGTATACCGGAGGTCTAACCAGTTCAAGGGGTAGAGGAGACCTAAACCGGCCCCCTTGAACCGGTTGCGAAAAAAATAACAAAAAAGGCAACCAATATGTATCGATTTGCCCGATACGCCCCTACCGACGTATTGGGTGTATCGATATTTTGAACCTTGGTTCAAACCATTGATTGAGTCTTCCATCAGCTATATTGAGAGTTTGAGACGACGATCTGATCTCGTCTCAGTAAATCAGCCCTCTTGATCGTCACTACATGAGTCCCCACTTAGTAAATCAACTACAGATACATTGTAGGTCCCTTCACTCAACTCATGTTTGCAGATGAGATGCATAGATCTCTCTTTGCAGACAGAAATTTAGGAAGTAGTAGCCTCTTAAATTCTTTGGTTTGGTCCTCCGACGAGGTGGAGATGTGAGGAGATGGGGGTAGATTTTTTCTCAGTGTTGTTTCTATACCTAAATCAGGCATGTGCCAACCAACTCTCATGGCCATTGCTGATATCAATATCGTGAGGAGTCATTGTTGGCATCTTGAGTTTCTGTAGCCTTATTGCTGAATTCTACAGCTTTGGTCTACCAACAGGCTTCGTCAGTGGTAGTTCTCTGTTCACTGTCAAGAAGACAATGAACAAAGATGAAGATGGAGGAAGGAGAAGAAGAGGAAGAAGGAGAAAGAGAAGAAGAGGGGGAAAGAGAGAGGGAAGAGGACAGAGAGATCGGGGAAGGGACCTGGTCAGAGGTGGAGAGGGTCAATGCCTGTTCGTCATCGTTGTGCTGAGAATTGGAAGGGACGATGAACATTGTTTTTCGATTCTCTCAAAAATGAACTTGGGACGAGGGAGAGGGTAATATTGGGTTTTAGAAGAATTTTAAACACCACGTGGTCTCACGTGTATACGGGTTTTGACGGAATGATAATGGATGCTAACGATAAGGGAAGTATTAGTCAATTGTCAGAAACAATAGGGATAGCGTTAGTCAATTTTTAAATAGTAAGAATACACTTAGTTAATTAACTAAACCATAAACCATAAGGTAGTTTAAAAAATTTATCCAACAACGATGTACCAAATAGCTCTTCACCGGTGAGATAGTGGCAAGTGGCAACAACTTCCGATGAAGAACGAATAGGGTTCTAGTCAAATGGTTCTCCAACGCTATATTTCATGCCCTTGAATTACAAAGAAGGCATTTGGCAATTAGCATCTTTTGTCAGTTAATTTAACTGTCGGGGGTCTTTGTCACAACGTAAAACTTCAGGGGGCCTTAGATGTATTTGTCACTGATCCCATAGCATAGGGGGTATTTGTAATTTACCCAAAAAACCAACACAATAGCTTTCAAGACATTATATATATATATATATATTTGATAGTATTGAAGATGTTATATTGGACGGAACACCATTCTTCTTGTTTAATTACAAATCAAACCTAATTTAATCTCCTAAATCAAATGAAAAGCTCGGTGGGTTGTGGGTTATTTAATAATAAATCAAACCAAATTTAGTCTCCAGAATACTCATTCCGTCATTCTAAATTCTTCCAAACCTAACAGCTTGGACGGTGGGTTTTCAAACAAAACAGGTACATGAGCCACTAATTAGTGATACTGTATTGCCAATAAAAAATTGGAAATTCTATTGCCAATGCTCTCCAAATTCCATCTCCATCAAAACGGAATAATTGAAAAAGGTTTTTATTTTTTCCTCTAATCCTGAAGCAGTCTTATTGGTACTATTGATTTGAAGAAATCTTTATATAATGAAGTATTCCTAAATCCTTAACTATACTTCCTAGGTCAGGATGAAATTCAAACTAAGACATTAATAATATTCAGCTTGAGCAGTTGGTAAAAGGCAATTGGTCACCGTGTTTATAGTACACAAAACATGGATCTCAGACAGAATTCCATGAAGCATCTTGGGAAAGAAGAAAGTAAAAGGGATATGAACCAAAAGGAAGCCACATTACCATGACAATATTTGGTGTTATCTGCAAATGTGAACCACAAGTCTGTACTGTAACTAGAAAGGCATCTCATCCCAAGCTCAAACGAGGTGGGATGCAGTTTAGAACCTGATGAAGGGTTTATGAAATCCAACAGAAGGCTTCCTACAAAATTTTATTGTGGTCCAACAAAATTAAGATATACTAGATTTCACATATACTGGCAAATCACAAAATCAAGAAGTTGCTCTTGGTATGTTTTCATATATCAAGAAGCAACCTGCGAGGATCCTCCACAACATCCTTAATACGGCGCAAGAAGAAAACTGCCTCTCTTCCATCAATCAGCCTATGATCATATGTCAATGCAATGTACATCATGGGCCTTGGGACAATGTTGCCCCCGACAACCATTGGTCGAGTCACTATTGAGTGCATACCCAGTATAGCCGACTGCAAAATATAGATGATTGTGAGGAATCATTCTGATAAAATGGAAATTCTAGCTTCAGATAAAAATAAGGAAAAAGAAATAATCAATGTTCAAAGTATCCATATTGGCTGTATGATTAAAATATATATGATTAAACAGGTCTACTGTCACTTTTTCAGAAAAAAAAATATAAAAAATAAATAAATTTTGGTTAGCTGAACTCTTGCTACGCAAATTTTTGCATATCAAGAGTGTCAATACTTTGAATCTTGCAGGAAATATGTGCAGTTTAGCCATACCTGTGGAGGGTTAATAATTGGGGTACTCAAAAGGCTTCCATAGACACCACCATTGGATATTGTAAATGAACCCCCGGCCATCTCATCAATTGATATGGTGCCATCATTAGCCTTCCTTGCAAGAGTATTAATCTCTTTCTCTATCTCAGCAAAGTTCATTTTATCTGCATTACGGATGACTGGAACAACAAGGCCCTTCAAAAATCAAAACACAACTTAGTACATTTCACATCCAACTTTTTTATTTCTAAACAGTACAACCTTTACAGATATATTCCGTATGATTTTAGAAAACAAGCTAACTTCATCATCACAGAGAAAAGTACAAGAAACCATCATCATCTAAGCCTTGTCATATGAGGAGAAAAGCGCAATAAATGTTCAGGGAAAAAAGACCAGGCATTCTATGGTATGATGAAATAAGAGTTGCCAAGAAAATGTAACATTCAAAAATCTTTAGGGAGGGAGATGAGAAGGTTGAAGAAGAAGTACTGCATGGCAAGAAGGGATTGGTTGATTCAAACAAGAAAAGATCTTTCACAAAAATGGAAAAACCAAGACTGGAGAAACAAAAGGGTAGCACTCAGGGGGTGGGTTTTATGCATGTGGGAGCAGTGAACAGCCTGGAGGGTGGCAGGTCTTTTGCACAGGTTGTAACCGGCGCCAACTTGACCTGTTTGAACAAGGAAAAGGAGCCAGTCCAAGGAAGAACTGGATCTAGACCGGATAAAACCAAACCGAGTGCGTGTGATTCTTTTAAAAGTCACGTGAGGCCGCAGTGGCTTAAAAATGGGCCAGAGCCAAAGCCCATTCGAAAAGTCTTGGGTGCGATTAAAGGCCCATTTGGGTCAGCGGGCCTGATCCAGTGATTTAAGAAGGCACGTGAGCCTTTAGTAACTCACGTGACTGGGGACACGACTAAGATAGACAATGCTAATGGTCTATCATCGTTCCCAGTCGCGAGACAAAAGGGGGAACGCGAGCAGCGCCGAAAAACAGAGAAGTTGCTCGACTTGCGGTGGGTTTCCCGACGAAGTGCAGTGAAGGTGATGATGACTCAGAGGATTGTTCGGTTGATGGTACTAGCTTGGGCAGTGTAAACGACGAAGGCAGTTGCGCTGGAGCTGACGTGGATGAGTGGAATATTGTAAGATTATTTCAGGGTGACGAAGGCAAGCGGTACAACCCATTCCCAAGACCTCAGAGTGTGCAAGGAGGATCATAAGGGGCAGACAGGGAGAACCGAAAGCAGAGCAGGAACACACCATCAAGGGGTGAACCAGAGGTAGAGTGGAAAGATCACCAGGGTGACCAAAGGACAGAAGTACTTCCCGACCAACTCAGGGAGATAAATTTTTACCAACCTCTGGAACAAGAGAGGGAGGTAGGGAGCAATCCTTTTCCAGCTTGTTCATCAGTCCCAGGTAACCAAGTGATTTCGGTTTGTGCTACTAATGTGTCTCCAATGTCTTTGGTTCCAGATTTCGTTCCTGCTCCAGGTCCTGTAGCCCATGATTATGTAGCCGAGCCAGCAGATGGACTCTCCGAGGAGGGAGAGACTGGAAGGAAGGAAGGTGGGAAGGTGCCGGAAGGAAAGTTTAGGAGTGAAAAAGTCTGGGAAATTATTGAAAGAGTACTTAAGGAAGTGGAAGGAGAGCTAATCTGGAGAGGGGAAGGGGAGGTAGGAAGAGGGGAGGGGTTAGTGGAGAGGAGGGAAAGGAATGAGGGTAGAGATGGAGAGGACTACGAAGAGAGAGTAGGGTTGGAGGAAGGTAATAGGAAAGGGAGGGTGGATGGAGAAGAAATAGTAGAGGTGGGACCAGAGGAGAGGAAGAAGGGGCAGGTGGATAGAGATGGAGGGGATCCT